GGCCGCCGCCTTGCCGTCGGCGCCCCCGTAGTTGACCCTGTACTGTGGCCCGTCCTTCAGCAGCCGCCCGTTGTTGACGGCGCGCTTGGCGCCCAGCCGCAGGCGCTGCTGAAAGGCCGGGTTGGTGGTGGTGCTCGCGAGATCGCTCTGGCTTCTGAGATACTTCTCGATGTTCTTCAGCGAGGACCCACTGGGCTCCTCGAGTCCTTCGATTGCTCTCCTTAGGAGCTTATTCCAGTCCACGTTGCGGAGATCGTTACAGGACGCTCTCGACCCCTTGGCTGACTTAGGAAACGTGCCCGGCTTAACCGCCGAGAAGCGCCCGGGGTTGTCCGGGTCCTTGTAGGAGGCGAGGCCTTTGTTGGTGACTTTGAGCACGGAGCCATCCTGGACGCTGAGCTCCAGCTGCTCGGACACGGTCTTCTTATCCAGCCCATGGGAGGCGCTGACCGCATGGCAGATTCTCTCTTCAGAGGGCCTTTGCTTTTGCTTTTTGATTTTCTGTATAGCTTCAAGAATCCACTCTGTATAAAGTGGGTTTGCAAGTTTTACCATGGTTGACAAATGACTTCTTCAACACAAAAGTTACCCATAGAGGTTCTCCTTGTATTTAACAGGACTCGCACATTTGAAAGTCGTGTACAATTCAACAAATGGGCAGGGTATTCCAGATCATATTAAGCAACATCTTAAAAACATCCATCCTTCAGAGAATCCAAAGAGGACAAACAGGCAGGCAATGGAGAAAGATGTCTTATTTTACCAACAGGAAAGACTGCGTTCAAGTGAAGAACATCTTTAACTAGGAAACCAAAACCTTAAAGGATAAAAGGAGAGAAAACACTCTTAATAATGGAACTTCCAAAAATAGATCCCTTGGTATTACTTCTTCAGATGCAAAATGACCAGACAAGTAATGACAGGCGGTATTGTATAACACAGCAACAGTGACCGTATTTTCTAACCAGAAATTGGGTCACAGCCTGAGAAAGAATTTTTTTCCAAGATTTTTCATTTATTTACATGAAGACGTTTACAGAGCATGTAAGAGATCACATCTAAATTACATATTTAATGGACTATCTATTGAAATTAATAAATTATGTCAGTGGACTAACGTACATATGAAATCAACATAAAAAATCCAGTGTGATAACACAGGCCTACAGACCCCAGCCCTAGGGAGGCTGAGGCAGAATCACGACAAGTTGGAGGTTAGCCTTGCCTACCTAGTGAATTCAAGCCTGGCCTAAGCTACACTGCCAGACCCTTTCAAAATAACAAAACAAAATCAATATCAAAAATGATTTATGATACAAAAAATCTGATGGAGGCCAGGTGTGGTGGTGCATGCCTGTAATCCCAGCACTCAACTATAATCCCAGCACTCTGGAGGCTCAGCCAGGAGGACCACCACAAGTTCAGGTTGAAAACTAGCCTGAATGACATATGAGACCCTGTCTTTTAAAAAAAAAAAAAAAAAAAAGGCAGCCAGGCATTGTGGCGCAGGCCTGTAATCCCAGCACTGAGGCAGGAGGATCCTTACGAGTTCAAGGCCAGCCTGGGCTACAAAGTGAGCTCAAGGCCAGCCTGAACTGCACACTGGGACCCTGTCTCAAAAAAACAACAACAAAAAAGCAATAATTCTACTATTACCTAAGTATTGTTATTTTACAAGTCTCCAACCTAATCACACCTAATCAAATAAAATTTCTTACATAATCGCTTTTCCTTTTTTCCAGCGCTGGGTGTCTCAAGTCCTCACACAGACTAGGCAAAAGCTCTATCAGTGAGCTACACCCCAAGTCCCAACCTAAATCCTTCTATGGTCGCAGATCCTATCCCTAGGCACAGGGTCTGTGACACCCTTTAACCCACAGGCAAGGGAACTGAAACGAATATAGAAACGTAACACATCATATTTAAATAATGCAGCACGCTGGTTATTTTAGTAGCCGTCAGAGCTCACTAAGCAGCTCAGTCCAGGTCCCTACAATCTGCTCCAGTGCACAGTGGGGAGCTCTCTGAGGCCCAGAGACCCAGAGAAAGGGCACGGCCTCAGAGCTGTGCTAGACCTGGGCTCCAGTCTTGTTCTCTAGGGACGTCACCCAGAGTTTTGTTTTTTATAGTGTGCCCACTTGTCATTTACTCTTCAGGACAACTCTAGAGGTGAGCGGGGTCAGAGGAAGTTGGAAATCCCCCGAGGTAACAGCCTTACAGCTCTCGGGCTACGTTTCAGAACCCTGGGCCAACACTGTTCTCACCTGAGCCGCCTGCCCTAGGCGGCTCTTCCTGCGCAGACACAGGAACAGGACTCTGACCCAGCTCCCAAACAGCCGGTGAGCAGACCTGCAGAAGTCAGTCTCTCTCACTCTGCCCGCAGCCAAGGCTGGTGCTGGAGCCCCCCGCAGACGGGATGCGCGCCAACCTCAGGGCATGCCTGAAACCACAGCGCATCTTCAACCCTCTTGTACAGCACTGTTCTTTCCTAGAGGTTTAGTAAACGGGGTTGGTGATAGAGTGGGGTTTGGGTGGTGTTTATTTTTGAGATAGTGTGCCTATGTAGCTTAGGCTGTCCTTGAACGCACAAGGTAGCCCAGGCAGACCTAGAACACACACGCTCAGGATAAATTTAATTTTGTAAACTGGGTACTGCAAGAGATGAACAACACGGTTATAACAATATACTGTAATGAAGATTATTTAAAATTTATGAACTAGCTAGGTATAGTGGTTCCTGTCTTTAATAGTCAGCACTCTGGGAGACTGAGGCAGGAGGGTTGCAAGTTTGAACATAGCCTGGACAATTTAGCAACTTAATGAGACCAAGGGCGGAATCTAGCTCAATGCAAAGGTTCTGGGTTCAATTCCCAGTACCAAAAAAAAAAAATCTATGAACTGTTTATTTCTGGAATTTTCCATTTCATATTTTTGGGCGCAGGCAGACCATGAGTAACAAACTATGAAAAGCGAAACCATGGGTACAGGAGCCTACTATATATATCCCTTTCGGAACTGCTGAAAGGGTGAAGTGCAGGTATCTAACAGAGTGGTTAGTCAGCGCTTCCACTAAATACAATGTCTACACACTTTGAAAAATATTTCATAGAATAAAACATAAAAGCTATTTCTACTGCCAGGTGTGGTGGCACATACTTGTAATCCCAGCACTCAGGAGGCTGAGGCAGGAGGATTGGTGTGAGTTGGGAGACCAGCCTGAGCTACAAAGTGCTCTCAAGGCCAGCCTGAACTGCATAGTAAGGCCCTGCCTCAAAAAGACCAAAAAAAAAAAAAA